CCCCCCCCCCAGCTCTTCCCATGTCCACCCACTCTCAAGTTGATAGCCTCTTTAAAAAAAATCATTATTACATAGAGACATATATATATATATATATATATATATATATATATATATATATATATGAATGCAAACATATGTAAGTACAACCTGCTGAGTTTGTCTTTGTTGCTTGTATACATATGATTTCAGGGTTGACTACTCTGCCTTGGACATCCAATAAGTTGGCTCATCCCTGGGAGAAACTAATTCTTTTTAGTCGCTTGTGGTTCTTTGTTTTAGGGTAGGACATCATGAAATTTTATCCTTCTATGTTGGCATGTTCACTGATGTTGCCATTGTTCTGGCTTGCTTATGCAGCCATTTCTAAGAGTGTTTCAAAGCAGACTTTTTGATATTCTGGCCTTTACAGCCATTCAGTCCCCTTTCTGCAGAGATTCTCTTGAGTTATAGGTGCAGGGGCTCTGACGTAGATGTTTCTTTTGGGGTCAGGCTCTCCATGATCCTTTGATTCCTATGTTGTGTCCAGTTGTGGTTTTCTGTGATGGTCTCCGTTTGATGTAAGGGGAGGCTTCGTTGCTGAGGAGTGGTAGCTGCACTTCTGTGTATAAGGATATGGTTTTAGGGTTGGGCTGGTTTAGTAATGTAGTCACGGTAGTTTTTTTCCTAATATCCATGACTTCACTAGCTAGGACGCTTTGATTTAAATCTAACTTCCCTCCTCTTAAGTGGCCTTTAAGTCCGCTTAGACAGCTGCTGGTTACCGCAACCATGTGAGTGTCACATGGAGGCCTTTAGTATATCTTGCACCCTGTTCATTGTTACAGTTTATAGGTGTTGCAGCTGGGTAGGACTATTTCATTTCATCCCTCTCTTGGTACCTTGCATTATATTTTCTGGTACTATGGAGGCTAGATCATGGGAAAAAGTGCTTTCAGATGCAGCTCAAATCATCCGAGTCTTGTGTTCTAAGTGTGTGGTGTCTTTAGTTCTAGGGGCAATCCTTGACCTCTCAGAGACAACCAAGGCATATACTGATAGCGTATATTGCCTTAGGAGTCACTTAGTCTGCCTGACCAAGTGTTTGAAAGGTTTCTCGGGTCTGGTACTGGGGTTTTGGTTAGTTTCTCGTTATAGGGGCATTGTTAGTCCAAGTGTCTTATCTTCCTTTAAGCTGTTTGTGAGTGTGCATGTGTGTGTACACATATATGCACTTATATGTATTGCTTGTAGTTTTAAGTAAATATAAAATGATTTCTTGAAGGTTTATCAGCTCATGGTAGCCTTAGTGTTTCCTCTCCTTGTCCACGTATTTTGACCTCTGGAGCTTGTCCATGTGTTTGTTCTTCTGGAGTTGGAGTCTACTCCTGTTTTCTGTTTCTCACTTCATACTTCTTAACAACCCTCCCCTGCCACCACCTTCCTGCACCCATGGTCCCTTTATACTTTCTTGGTCTCTGTGGTTACTCTGTGTTGTATATTCACATCAGTGCATCTGATGATTTGAGGCTAGGAATGTCAAATGAGTGAGAACATACAGGGCTTTTTCTTTTTGCTTCTTTTTAAAGACAGGATCTCATGTAGCCTGTGAACTAATTGTGTAATCAAGGATCACCTTGAACTCCTGATCCTCCTGCTTCTGCCTTTTTGTTTGCTTGTTTACATAGTCATGGCTGTCCTAGGATTCACTATGTAGACCAGGCTGACCCTGAACTCACAGAAATCTGCCTGCCTCTGCCTTCCAAGTGCTAGGATTAAAGGTGTGTGCCACTGAACCTGGCCCATGCCTCTACCACTGAAGTGCTGGGGTTATAGGCGTGTGCCACAACATTTGACCAGATTTGTATTTCTGAATGTGATTCTGTTGTTGTTGCTGAGATACAATGTCATGTAGCAGAGGGTGGCCTCAGACGTACTATGTAGTTAAAAATGACTGTGACCTCTCAACTCCTGGGAATATAGGCATCCGCCAATGCACTGGGCTTCTCTACTTTGGAAACTGTATTTTGTTACATTTTAAAATTTATTTTGTGTGGGAAGGCAAGCATGTGGGCACTTAAATTCTGTGGTGCACGTATGGAGGCCACAGAATTAAAAGTCACCTCATAGAAGTGACTTTACTCCTACCGTGCAGGTCAGTTGAACTCAGGGTGTCAGGCTGGACAGTATGTGCTACACCTGCTATGCCCTCTTGCTGGCCGCTAATGTGCTTTTAAACATTTACAAATCTTGGACATGTCAACACATTAGATATATTTTACTAGATGGTCTTCATCAGATTACAAGCAAACAGCTTTCATGTGTAATTATGTAAAACCTAATGTGTAGCTGTCAGGTCTTGCGTCTATACAACTCTTCATGCTGTAGTAGATCCTCCAGTCTCCCCTGTTCAGAAGCAGCAGCAAAACAGCAGTGTCTTTTACCTTTCCAGTCGCCTCTGGCTGCTGTTAATGCCACCTTCATTTAGAAAAAAAGACAGTTCTGTGCAGGTGTGCATGAGCACATCTGTGCGAGGATCTACTTATAATAAAAAAATACTTGATTTAAAAAGTATTCACTTCAGCTTTTAGTTGTGTATTTTTTCTTAGTTAAGAAAGCTGGAGCTGAGTGCTGAGGCACATATCTGCAGTACCAGCACCTGGAAGCTGAGGCTGGTGGACTTTAAGTTCAAGATCAGCCTGGACTACATGGGGAAAAGGAAAAAGAAGGAAATGAGACAAAAAGTAAAGGAGAGAGCCTAGTGAACATAGTAATATACTTATTTCTGAGGAACATATTTTGAGGATACATGGATAAAAGCAAATCCATAGTGAATTAAGTTCTCCTTAGAAGTGGAGTAAAATTGTAAAACAAACCATTGCAGCGATCTAGTATGGTGCTAGTTTGTTATCTAAGATGTACTTTTATTTTTCATGATGTGTTTGTATGTGTTTGCTCATATGTGTTTGTGTACATGTGGAGACTAGTAGAAGGCACTGGGTTCTCTAAAGATGGTGTTATAGGTAGTTTTGAGCTGTTTGACGTGAGTGCTGGGAACCAAATCTGGATCCTCTGCATCCCAGCAGTTGCTTTTAACTGTGGAGTTTTTATTTAGAAATATACTGTGTTCTCTGGGGAAAACAGAAAATATTTGATATAAAAATTGAACCTTTTGTATCTTTACCGAAAAACCCCATGTAAATTTCTTGAAAATAATATTTCTGCTATGTTTTACTGATTTTTTTCAACTGCCTTTCTTTAAACACACAGTAAAAATATAAATATAATATTTTTATAATCCATGCTTTTGGCTTATATGAAAGCATCAACAAGTAAAATCCATCTGGGTGCAATAGGGAAGGATACTTTAAACATTAATGGACATTTTGGAGAAATTAACTTTTATTATCTTAAGCTAACATTCACACATTGAAAGCAGGGTATATTTGGACTGATCTTGGGGAAACTGTCCTTTGCAGCTCTGTAAATTCAACAGGTGTAATGTACAACTGTAAATAAAATTAGCTTTATAGCTTCTGAACTATATTTGACAAGAATAAGAACGAATATAAGTGATAAGCTTTGTTTCTCAGGAGTGTAGGAATAAAAGGCGCTGCCATCCTCAGTTTTCTGAAGCATGGAGTTATAAAAGCACCTGTCTTGTGGTTAGGGCAGATTTGAAAGTGTCTTCTCAGTACTTAACATAGGCTGTGGCACGGATCAGCATGATGTAGACATGACCACATTTTACCCACTGTCAGTAACAGCAGTGACTTCTTCAGTTGGAGAACACTTTGCCAATAGAGTTTGACCCAGATACCACTGATGCTAGCTAGATGAACCGGGGTCCTGAAAGAGAGGTTTCATCAGCACACCAAGCCTTCACATCTTACAGCAGCCATTGCTGTTTATTTTCCTGCTTTGCAGTGCTTTCGTTTGAGTCTTTCCTGCTAATTCCTTTATCAAGTCTTCTGTTCTTCTCCCTCCTCTCCCGTTACTTCCCTTCCCCTCTCCTCTCTCCGTCTCATCTATAGATGATCACATTTTGGGTCTTGCACAAAGCTAAGGAGACTCCATACTAAGTTCCTGTCCCCTGGGCTTGTAGTTTCATTTTCCATTTAGCTTACATTTTTTTTTTTTTTTTACAGTGGTTCTTGTCTTAATATTTAAAGGATGGTTGTGTAAACAATAAGTACATTTTGTTCTTTGGGACCATCATATAGCTTAGATATTTTTAAGGAACTTAAAATTTAAGTGTTCCTAAATTTTGGGGAAAGCCTAGAAAATTTAATAGATCTAACTTACTACATGTTAATAATGTTAGTCACCTATATATGTCTAATTTAAAATAAAAAAGTTCAGGGAAATATTGACAAATGTCTTATATACCTTTAGCCATTTATTTCCTTCCATATTTCAGTCTAGGTCAAATACAAACAATTTTATAGGCTTTTTACTCTTCTTATACAGTTCATCAGCTCTTGCCCTTATTAAGGTGAAGGTTACTTCAGAGTTCTGGCCAGGTTTGAATGTGTGTTTATATTCACACATTGTGTATACTTTTTATGTTTATGCTTTCTGAGGATGCAGGACTGGTCCTCTGCTGGTGATTGCCAAGTTGATCTACCTTATGCACTGTGCTTCAGCAGTCCTGTAGTCTATGCTTTGAGCAGCCAGCTGCTTGTTTGCTGCTTATATATGTGCCTGCTTTTAGCAGTAGCTCTTTTCTTTTCTTTGTTTTATTTAATCACTGTGGCCTAGAAAATGTGGTAATGAGGAAGTTTAGAATAACAAGTATTTAGTATCTGTGGCTACTTTATACCAGCATGAGCATCCCCTGTGGAGATACCTTGGGAGTGCTGTGCATGAGCTTACTACTGGCAGTTCTTTGAGAGCTCTGTTGGGCTATTTCCCAGCTCTAGTCTTGTTGGAAGGAGCTGGGACTGCTGGTAAGTGGCTTGTGGTTAAGAGAGCTACCTTTATCTCACAGCCAGGCAGGTCAGCTGGCAGGCACCCTTTCTTTGCATCCACTTTGTCCATTTCAAAAGGCCAGTGTTTGGGCAACCATGGACATTCCCCTCTCCTCCTGGTGCTCTTTCCGTGAGTTCCCTATCTTTTTATTTTTCTTCTGAGTTTTTCATGTCATCCTTATGGCAGAGGGGAGCCACAGAGAAGAACCTGCAAGATTATGTTGCTCTTAGACTCTTACCATGGACTTTTTTCTTCTGCTTATGGTATACATGTGCTTCCATTTGCTTCTGACCACACAGTATTGGCTCTCACTTTAACTAGCTGTTTACTTTTCCCTTTCTCCCTCCACCCATACTACCTGTCCTTTTAACTCCATGTCCCATACTCCCTTTCTCTAGGTCTCTTGTTGCTTGCAGGCCTGGGGAATATTTACCAGTAGCCTGTATTACTTGTATGTGTGAGACATCTCTACAGAGAAATGCATGTGGGTCACCAGGTTGTCCAATCCCATGCCTTGCAGGGAAATGGTGTTTGAGAAGAGAGAAGCTATGTTCTAAGTATCTTAGCTGGGAACTCAGAAAAGATAAAGACAGCTTCATTTTGAATGCCACTGCTTATGTAGGGAAGCAGAGTTGGAGCTGTGAGTGTCTGGGAAATTTTAATGAAAAATCAGGTCTAGTGTATTTATTTCAGGCCATGCATTGGCTGTGCTAGTATCTGCATGAGCAGAGTCTTTTACTGTGCATGCGGTCATCTTTGTCCTGTATCTTGTCTTCACCAGGAGTTCCCCTTCCTCACCTTGACGGCCTTCCCTCCTGGACTTCTTGTGCACGTGGGTGGTGTCGTCAGTGCACGCTCTGTGAAGCTCTTAGATCGGATCCACAACCCTGGTATGTTTTCTGAAACGTTTGATTTTACTGCCTTTATTTAAGGTGTGGTTGTGAAGATTGATTGTTGTGAATATTGAAAGCAAATTTAACCTGAAAGGAGAGATGGAAAGAGATTATAACCGGGCATGAGTTACTTTGAAATGTTTTCAGTAATCACAGTTAAAGGTAAACTAAAGTAAACTTTAGTTATTTTTAGTGTTCAACAGATGAACACATTTTGATTTATTTTTGACGGAGGTATCATTTTGAGGGGATTATTAATTAATGTTTGAGTTAGCTGTTATATTGGTTTAGGGGGATAAGGGATTTTAACTGTTGGCCTTCATGGCATTAGCTTATATTGTTAATGGTTTTCACTTGCTCATATGGACGAACAAGAAGGAACAGTAGCTCATGTCTTTAAAGCACAGCGCTGGAATAATGCAGAAGGCAGGCAGCTGAGTCCTGGCACTTAGGGCTCTGGATTAGAAATACGTAGGTGAGTTTTTTCACTCTACAGCCATCATGATCAGTAATGGTAGCTCCCTTTGTAGTCATCCCTCTTGTCCCAGGTTCCCAGACATTTGCAGAAGCACAGTAAACCTGAAAAGATATTGGCATCTATACGGTTGTATGTTTTGGAAGACTTTAATGCATCACTTCCTGCAACTTTGTGACATGTAGGAAAAGAAGAAAAGAATGCTTTGAAATTAGTGGGTGGAAACATTGCAGATAGTGTTCTTGAGTATAGCAGAGCATTACTGTTCTTTACAGCTATATTTGATTTGATTTTACCTGAGAATCAGAACGGAATTCTTCTGACTGCAAATGAGACTTCAGAAAGGCAGCACTATTCATGTTATGTAGCTCTAAAATGAACAAATACATAATTTTGGTGCCTGTATTTTATTTTGATTTGGTTTATTTCCCGTTTCTTATTTTTGTGGTCAGTTTAAGATCTTACTTTCCTTATGACATTTGTACTCTGCATGGCACTTACAGGACAGTCTGACTGCTTATGTACTACATTAAAGTCATGCAGACCCTGCTAGATTCTAGCTTTCTGTAGGAAATTCATTTATGAGAAGTCTAAGGAAAGACTGATTGATGCTTTCCATGGATGAGTGACTTATGTTTTGATGGCACACACTGACTTGATACTGTCAGAAATAGTTTTGAAATGTATTTAATTGATGTCTGTTTTCATTTTGTTCCTTCCATTAGTTCTATAAACTCTAGAGCCTGGGATAACAAATAAAAGCAATTTAAATTAGCCTTGAATGGATTATAAATATATATATATATATATATATATATATATATATATATATATATATATGTTACTTAGTTTTACAAAACCTTTTTGAGAGTTTATCATACTCACCAGTTCATTCCAGCCATATAAGAAAGCCGAGAACCCAGGAGAGAGGCTGTCCTCATAGGATGAGATTGTGTGCTGTGACCAGCAACTCAGCAGTTTTCTCGTCTGTTCTACAGAGGAAACCTCAGTTATTTTTAGTGGTTTATTCTGAGAAGTTCATGTGATATTTCTATATGTAAATACTTTGAAATGGTGTAGTTATATTTTTAGTTTACCTTGTTTTCAGTCAAATACTTATCAAGTGTGGGTTCCATGGATTCCATATCTTATTTTGATTTAAATAAGTGCTCTTTGGATTCTTTTATGTATATATATTATATGCTAAAATAGAATGTTTACTTAACAGCTTCTTCAAGCCCCTTGAGTAATTTTAATGGAAAAAAAAAAGATACATTTGTTGAGAAAAGCTGATGTTAACACTACGTGAAAACCTGGATTAGTCCTATCAGCAAAGGACTCAGCACTGTTACTGTGCTGAGAGACTTCAGGATTGGTCAAAATCCATGTGTAATGTGTTTTCTTGCAGCTTTTTTTTTTTTTTTTTTGACTAGTGAATACAAAACATTTTAATTTTAGAGACATTCTTATTTTATTTTAAAACTATTGCCACTAGTTCTAACTGTTGGTGAATTACTTCAGAGTTCTTAGAACTTCTTCCTTTGTTAAATACCAGACAAATAAAAGCACGAGCAGGAAAAGACAGGAGTGGTTTCGAACATAGAAGTGTTCAAATGACTGGAGGAGTTAATGCTAGGTCACTGTAGCTTGCTTCTCCTGCCTTTCTGTCTCTTTCTTATTAACTCTGCTATCTATGTCTTCCAGTTCCTGTCAGATGCTGTTGTCAATTGTGTTCTTGTTTGTAGTTTTTTTGTTTGTTTGTTTGTTTGTTTTATTCCTACTATTCCGCACCTAAAACTGATCAACTAATTTGCTGTTTTGAACTCAGCCTTTGTCGGAATTATGGGTAACACAAGATCTTACAAACTGCTAGACTGGAATAGTTTCAATTCAGGTATTTTAATGGTCATTCAGTATTACATATCCTGACAGAAATTATGGCAGCTCAGTGAGGTTTTAGAGACATTCTAGATTAAATAGATCAATTCAGTTACATGGATGCATTCTGTAATAGTTATGTCACAACTTGGAACTTGCATAGAAATGCAAGTATAAAAATGTATGAGCTAAAATGAATCAAAACCATACCATAAATTATGAATGACTTTGTTTATATGACTAATTTTCAGAATACAGTTAAATTCTATTTATGCATTTGGCCAGTGTTTTCATATCTGGTAAGTGATACAGGCATTAGCTTTATCATTAAGCAGCATTGTTGACTACATTAAACAACCAGCCTGACAAACCTTAAAGCATGTTTAAACTGCGTGGTCAGATTTAATAGAATATATCTACTGTTTTATAAATTACTAGGAAATGTGACTCCTAGCATTTTTATTTCTAATGCTAGAAATGTTTCAAAATTTTATAGCAAGGCAGCTCTTCAGGGAGGTTAACAATATGTATAAGCTTTCCTCTTTCCACATGAGATTCCAATTCTTCTATATAAGTAATTTGAAGATAGTATGTAGCCATTAAAAAGAAACAAACCAAGAAAACTTTACAGCTGATGATGTGTTTTAGTAATGCCAATTAGTTTTTGATAAAAGCATATTCTTACTAATATAAATACCTAAAATTATTTTTGAAATTAAATTTTGGGAACTGTTTTAATTAAACACTAAAGCTGATATTTAAGGATATTTCAGTGCCTTGTGTCAGTGTATCTTACAGCGAAGCAAAAGTACCAAAGAGCTCAGCAGTTTAGGTAATGCCTTCTTTTCAGTATTCTTTGTATGCAGGAGTCAAAGATAAACGTCCTGATGTACAGGGACTGTTCTATGGTGAGGCAGGTCACATGATCTGGCTTTGTCAGCTTGTGCAAATATAGAATGAGCTTATTTCCCGGCTCGTTAAGGAAGTTGCCTCTTGTTTTTCTAGACAGGGTTTTTACTATTATGCTGACATTCATCAAAATGAGAATGATTATTATTATTATTTTTTAGTTAGAAATGAAATATACTCTATTAGATTTATTTTTTTAAGTAAGAGTATATTCCAGTACATAGTTAGCTTGGTGCAATTAGAAAAATAGGTTGTGCATAAAAATGATTGATCACTAACAACTTAAGGACATGAAGGTTAGCTAGATCATTTCGGGTATTATAGTTGCTGGCCAGATGGCAGAAAAGGTTTATAAAAGGAAAGGGCGGAAGTAAATCTCCCAGACATAAGGGTACTGTCCCAGGCAAGCAGAGTAGCCGTTCGGCCAGGACAGACATGGTTGAGGAAGCAGAATATCTTGCCATCACTCAAAATATTGTCAAATGGGAAGTGTATAAAAGAGAAGTGGATACAGAGCTGTATGCAGGAGGGCTGGGAGGAGGAGTGAGATTTGATGGCAGCTGGGCTGTATAAGTGGTTCCAGGGTCAAGCTCAGCTCTGAATTGAGACTGTTTTCAGAAGAATGAACCAAAGAAGTTAACATAAAGAGTATAAAGACATTTTCAGTTTAATGTGTTCATAGTGCCATCCTGTGACTGAAATAAGGTTGGTCTTGATACTAGTTTAGGGGGAAAAAAAAAAAACAAAAACGATAATTCTGAAGAAAATATGGCATGTTTAGTAAATATTTTCAAATAATTTTCATATATCCTCTGTATTTGGAAGTATTTTGCCACTGTTGTACCATGATACCAAAATGTCAGAAACTGACCACACTTGGGACTGAAGGGGTGAGTTAGTAGTTAGGAGCACTGGCTGCTCTTCCGCAGCACCCACATGGCAGGCAGCTCAGAGCTGGCTTCAACTCTGATTCCAGGAGATCCAGTGCCCTCTTCTGGCCTTCATGGGTGCCACATGCACATGGTGTAGCTATAAATACCGGCAAACACTCATGCACAAAAGTAAAAAACAAAACAAACAAAAATTAACCCTTATTAAAAAAGTAATTGTTGATAATAATATTTTCTAAAATTGCTCATGCTTTATTTCTTGAGTTCTTTGACAACCGTGAATAATGTGAGGCCTCAGTCAGTTTGATAATTGTCATCCAAGGGCAAGAAAAAAAAATTCTGAATGAGAAACACTTGTTAGTTACCAGATTTTGGTATTTCAGAAATAATACTGAATGAAAAATATGCCACACAGCGTTTACAGTTTTGTGCTGCATAATGGATAATACGCAACTTTCTGGTCGTTTTTCCATCAGAACATACTGCCTTGGGATTGGCTGCCTTACGTGTGTCATTGCATGGCATGGTGGTCTCACAGTGGTGAACACTGGCTAATGTGGCATTTCTCAGAACACACGTCACTGAGTGAAACATGACTAAATTGGAATTTATTTTGTGCTTTACAATTTGCTAGGCACTAGAGGACAAAGATTGCCAGTCACCCTGTTTTCTTGAAACCTGTGTTCTTAGATGATAGAAAAATGTGGTGTTACCATGCTGTATGGCATACGGTGTGGAAGCAGGCATGGGGGCTGTGCTGATTCTTAATTTAAGCTTAGATTTTCACAGGTTTCTAGTTCCTTCAGTAACCCCATATGAATGCGTACTCTGTGCTGTTCTAAACCTCAGTCTGAGCCCGTGAGCCTCTGATGGTCCGATAGTTACTTCATAGACCACAAAAGGTCCTGAGGCCGAGCCCTCTTGCCCTTTGTTTTTGTCTTCGCCATCTGGTCCCATGCTAACCACAGCGATTGGACATTTTTATACACTAAGAAGAAGTGAGCCCTTCTCATGAATCTGAGAATAATTGTGATGTCACCTTTCGGGTCCTTGCTTTTCTTTTCTGCGGACAGAATTTGAGAAAAGGGCTGAGGTGTTATAGCCCTTCGTTTGGCCCAGGGCTGCAGGAAGGTCACAGGGATGAGATAGTGACAACATGCCTTGGGTCTTCTGGCAGACACTGCCTTCCACAGACCTGAGGACAGGCTAGAAAGGCTGGAGCACTTACTCCATGCCAGAACACACCTGAATGCCTTACAATAGCAGAATACTCCTATTCCGTGGGTGAGCAAAATGAAACTAGTACTACTTTCCTTAGGCCTCAACAGAATGCTGCAGAGCCATAATCAGAGCAGAAGTGCCCTGGCCCTGGAACCTACACTATTGGCCGTGGATGACGAACTTGAGCTTGCTAGGGAACATGGCAGGCCTGTCACCTGCCTATCAGCTCTCAGCTAAGTGGACGGGGTGATTTTTGATTTGGTGTCATGTCCAGAATTAGGAAAAACAAATCAGTTAAAAGTAAATTGCTAGTTTTGAGAAATTTTTTTGAAGTTTTAAGAATATTTTTAGATGAATCTTGAATTTTAGGACATAAACCCATTTTTTTCTTCAATCATAATAGACTTATGTTAAGGCAAGCTTTAATGGTTTGAAATTGGAAAATGCTGCATTTTGTTCATCACAATTACGGTTTTTAGAAAGCTCGTTTTGGAAGCAAAAGTTCAGTTAAAACCTTGAAAAGTAAGTTTCTTACTTTACAAAAGGAAATGTAAATAGTTGGGTGGTGGCCATACACACTTTTAATCCCAGCACTTGGGAGGCAGAGGCAGGTGAATCTCTGAATTTGAGGCCAGCCTGTCCTATATAGTGAGTTCCAGGACAGCCAGGGCTATGTAGAGAGACCTACTCAAAACAAAACCAAAACAAGAAAATGTGACTCAGCTGATCAGTGAGGAAATAACATATGAATTATTCATTCTTTTTTGTTTGTTTTATTTTGTTTTAGCAAATCTTAAGCGCTTAGTGGATGTTTTTGGCATGCTCACATGTTGAGCACTGTACTGGCACCAGGGACACCATTAAGCCAAGGTGGGCATCCTGTTAGTCATAGAAGGCAGGCTCCCTGGGAGTGAGAAGTCTGCTGAGGGTCTCAGCTGTTTTTTCCTGGGAGATGTTGCTGCTCAGGTGAGAATCAAGGTAGATGGAGACAGCTTTTGATTCTTAGCTGAGGTCAGTTTTCAGGAAGTGATGAGGCCAATAAGTCATAGCAGTAGCATGTATGGTATGCTTGCTGTATGCACCTGTGATGTGGATAAGCAGTGTCTAGTTACATGATGCATACACAATGAGATTTCAGGCAGAGTGGATTAGATGTCTGCTTTAGAAAGTAGCAGCATTCCAATAAGCTAGCTACCTTGTAACATCTAGCCTTCAGTGTCCTCTCTGTTTCTCCATATTACTTCTAGTACAGTGAGGATCTTTTTCGCAGTCTGGCTCTAAGTCCCACCCAGTTTGAGACTGTGTACTCCATTGAACCTGAAATCTTCAGTTTCTCTTGGAGAAAGGCAAACCATTAAATCTTGCCTTACTCCAGAGGAGGTCACTTTCCAGTGTTTGGAAATGAACCTTTCCTGTGTCCCTCAGCAGCTAGATTATCATATTCAAAGCCTTTTCTTGTCCAGCCTTTATCTCCTCTTGTTCATTTTTAAGTTAGGTTGAGCAGGATGTGATGGCTCATACTTGTAATCATGGCACCCTTGAAGCAGAATCAAGAGAACTGTGAATCTGAGGCTAGTTTGGGCTACATGTTGAACTCCATTTCAGCAAAAACCAAAAAAATTATGTTGAGTAACTACAAACAGAACAGATTTTCAACACTTTGGGTAGGCAGGTATGTCTTCGTTACAAGCATATAATTGCCTAAAGTCACTAAGGAGTTGAGTTTAGTAAAGGCATTTGTGTTGAGTCGATCATGTCTTACCTCCTGGGATACATATTAGCCTTTAAGAAATCTTTAGTAGTTTCACCCACACTTCTGAAACAAAAAGATGGCAAGATATCAAGCTGTGACCATGCTCTAGGAAAGCACCAGTAGAGAGTGGATTCTACTGCCAGCCACAGTGGTAAATTCCTATGGACCAGTGCTGAGTATAGAGCTCAGTGCACGTCAGCTCCTAAAAGGAGAGCTTCAGTGATTCGTATAACCTAGAAAAAGTTGGACCCCCTAGAAAAAAGCTTTAAAACAGTATGACATGTAATTTGCATAATAATGACGATTTACTTTTCCCCAAATGTTTTTAATTAGAATAAATTTTGTAGATGGAAATCATTTTTTTTACTACCTTTGGAATGCTTGTTAAATGAGTTCACATCTCAGCTGTATTTTCCTAAAATGACTAATGGCACCCATGTACCACATGGGTAATTGCCATACATCTTAAAGCCAAACCCTGTTTTGCTTTTTATGAAAGTATGGTAGAACTTCAAATTTATGCTTTGGTATGGGGAAAAAATAAATAGGTTCAGTATTGTGTTTCCTATTAAAATTTAACTAGCAGTTTTTAAATCTTAAAAGAGTCTGTCATAGGGATTAACTGATGTGGAAAAGCTGATTTTTTTATTGATAATAAGATCATACTAATTACAAGTGCTGTCTGAGTCTGGCTCACCTTTGGCACAATTGTAGTGTAGGCATTGAAGATAAATAGAAGCTTTCTTAATCCTAAATAAATGGATTAGTGTGAATTTTTCTGTAGTTAAATAGCTTTCATCCCTTGCTCTTGCCTACAGTGTAGTGGCTATGGTTGCCAGGGTGACTACTGATGAAGTGCTCCTCCTGTACGCTTGCCTTGCTCTCACCTAGAGTCTAGGGCCATTCCTTTCTGTGACCATTTCAGTGAGCTGCCATAGTTTTCAGTCTGTGCTGTCACTTGACCCGAGCATGCGCCAAAACATCACTTCCTAGCTCCTGTCTGCCAAATCTGCTTTGCAAACCCTTTGTTCCTTAGCTTTTGCTTTAGCCAGAACCAAATTTAACATTTTCCAGAGTGTGGACACATGCCATTTGCTTCCTTGGTGCCCATGTCATGTAACTAGCTTTTTACACTTGTCAGCACTTTGCTAAGTACAGTACTGGCATCTCATGCACTCGTGTGGCTGTGTCAAAGTGAAGGCTGCTTGTGAGCTTGCCTGAAGGGTCTGAATGCTGCACTTGCGCTCAGTCAGCTCTCGCTCGCTCTCGTCCTTGCTCTCTTTAAGGTTTAATCAGCCACTTACTCTTCCATGGCTTGTTTTAACTCTCTGTTGTTTTATGTTATACCAAGGTAAGTGTGATGTGGGTAAGCTGTATTCTATGTGGTTACACATACCTCAAGGGAATTAACATTTCTCCATTTGAATATGCTGGGCATTTCTAAGTACATACATTTCAAGCTTGCAATAAGTAGCTCCGTCCATTTCTTCATTATTTTGTAAATGATGTTGTGGATTGTTGCTTATAAAACCCATTATTAAAAACAGGGAATCTGCCACATGTTAATTGTGGTACAAATAAGGTGAGTCTACTATGAGAAAACTGTTTTAACATATCATAATGCTTGTTTGTTTTCTGCTATAGTTTTCTTTTGGAAAAGGATGAGGCTTTGTAGATGTTTAAATTGGCATACAGGCACGCATGTCTAGCCAGTGTGGTGGCTCACGCTTGTAATCCTAGCAAGGGGAGGCTGAAGCAGGAGCATTGTTGCAAGTTCCAGCAGCCAGATTTACATAGTCAGTTTGACCCCAGTAGAGCAAGATCCTATCTCAAACAAAGAACATAATAAAATGGCATGTGTATCTTATAGTAGAAATGATATGAGCTCTGAAGTGTATGTGTGCTCTTAATGTATACATTTCAGCTAGGAATGTGAGAACAAGTTTGGAACCGGCTGGAGAGGCAAATAGCCACTTGAATGTTTCTGTAGTTCTTAGTTAATAGTATGGGATGGAGCTTTTTCTGTTCTCTTTGTTTACTTTATCTTGTACTTTCATCTTTCCTCAGTTTCCTCAAGTCTGCTTCTCTCTTTTCCTCTGAAGGAAAGTTTTTTAGGGTAGCTCTGTCCCAAACCCCAGACTCAATCAAGAGCTGGCTGACATTTACCTCCTTATTTCTCCTCTTGCCATCTCCTCCTTGCAGAGGAGACACCACAGGAATGTGAGCTCTAGCAAGCTTCTTAACCTTTCTTTCCTTTCTCTCTTCACTGCTTTACTAGTGAGTATACTTCTACTTCATTTATTTTGAAAAACTGTGCTGAGGATTTGATGTAACTGCTGTGTAAAAATAGAAATTGGTATGTGCTTGGTGTTCTGTACTAGTGGCTCCTTTTATGCGGAAGATGTACAGTAAGAGCTTAGCACCATCTCCAGAGGAAGCTTTCGGAGGCCTCTCGAACCACAAAAAGAAGCAAGAAACAGACCAATCTTGGTTTTAACACCTTTGCTCATGAAAAGTTAGTCTTGCTTGTGGTTGCTCACTGGCTAAATGTGCAGCTGATTAAGAAGTGTATGGCCACGCCATTCCTATTGCCCGTTACATGGGTGTTAGAGTTCTCCATGACATGATACAGTTCTGCAGTTCTGCACATTATTATTTTCTCCACAGAGATGAGCCCAGTGCCTCTACGTGCTTGTTGTACCAGTTAGTTCATCTAATCCCTGAACAGTTTTTGTTATGGTTGAGACGGAAACCAGTTTGTTGACCAGGCTAGGTTATACTCTTGGGCCAAGCTTTCCAAGTAGCCAGAATGTAGGCATTGGTTACCATGCCCATAAGCTGCTTTTTGAAATTATAAGCCATGTATGGATTTATAATTGTATGTTTGAAATTTGCCCTTCTATATTAGCTGAATAATTCGTGTTAATCCTTTAAATGTATTTTTTTTGTTGATGTTTTTCTGTCCCTCCCATTTTTTTTTTTCTTTTTAGATTGGCTAGTCCTTTTATACCCTGTTACTCTGCCCTAGGACTTACATCTTTATAAAAGAATGGCAAAAAAGTTTTTTGATACCACTTATAAATATTGATGAATCTTTACCTTGGAGGGAACTTAAAACTTAAATGTTGTGGATTATAGGTGACAGAGTACGAAATCAGAATTTAAATCAAACTGTGCACAAGACACATAAGGTATTTGCTCAGTGAGATGAGACTCAGCATGTCCTCTCAGTTTAGAATCTGAGCAGAATGTGGGGACACATGCCTGTGACCCTCACATTCAGAATTGGAGGCAGAAGGATCAGGTCAGAGTCATCCTCAGCTACATAATGGGTGAGTCCAGACTGAGCTATCTGAGATCCTGTCCTCCAAATCAGGCAAACAAACAAAATTGGAATCTGAAAGTTGAGGTCTCCCTTTTAAGTTATAGCTACTAAAATATTTGCTGTTAAACTAAAATACATGCCTTGCAGGTGTCTAAAGTGCTAAAGCTAGTAGAGCAGTAGTGCTCTGTCCTAGCAACCGAGTTTCAGAGCTGAATCAATTCTTGTATGAAATCAGCACTTTAAGAAAATGGGAAGTGTAAAGTGTGGGGCAGCACTTCATCTCCAGAGTCAGGCGTACTGCAGACGTTTCCTGTTAATGTATAATGGGCTGTTGAGTAGTCAATTGACTTAAACTTTATTTTTCAGATGAACCAGAAACTCGAGATGCATGGTGGGCAGAAATCAGACAAGAGATAAAGTCACATGCTAAAGCCTTAGGCTGCCATGCTGTAGTGGGCTACAGCGAGTCAACCAGCATCTGGTAAATGACTAATTGAATTTCCTGACATTGTGGTTTGGCTTGTTGTGTGAGCTGGAAGAAATGCAATACAAATCCAAGAAGAGAGGCACAGTGGGAAGCCAAGACAGGGCCCTGAGTGTTTCAGATCAAGTTCAAGATGCCTTCTTCCCACTTGATTTTTGTAAATGTGAGAGCCGCAGTTTCTTTGTTCAAATGGTGATGGTGCAAACTGTTATGGGCTTTGAGGGTCCTATGAGTGTATAATAACTAGCACACCCAGTTAGTGGTCCTTGGCCTATAGCACTTCAGTTGCTGACTTTGGGGACTCCTTCCAGTGGGACATTTGGAGGGAGTTCTAGGTGTTTTGTAAATGAATTGTACAGTGTCTCTAAAGTTGTACTCAGCCACCCTTAATCCCATCACTTGGCAGGCAGAGGCTTCTCTGAGTTCAAGGCCATCATGGTTAATACAGTGAATCCCAGGCCAGCTAAGAGCTACATAGACCCTGTATTTAAAAAAATAAAAATAAATAAATAAAAGTTGGGTTGGAACTTTTTCTCACAAAATATTCCTACCTAACTCTGCTAACTTTGGGAGAGGCTTCCATATTTTGGTTCTTTTCCTCCTACCTTTCATCTGAATCATGTCTCCAGTGTGTTCGGTGTGTTCAGAGCTGTGCTCTTTGCCGGTGGTGTCCCACCTCTAGTCATCCTGCTGGCCTGGCCCCTTGTCAGCTGTCTCCCTCCTAGACAGTAGCTACTAAAATATATGCTGTTACACTAAAAAATAGGCTCTGCAGGTGTCCCTTGGAGTGCTAAAGCTAGTAGAGCAGAGTGCTCTGTCCTAGCAGCCAAGTTTCAGAGCTGATTCTTTCTTGTTATTAAGCCCTCTATTGCCACATGACTTTGGAGTGTGGTTTGGACTTGTTGATCCATTTAACCATTTAAAAAATTTGAAGCTGTGAAATTTTATTCTCAGATCACAATTTATGTTTTCCCACCAATACACTTTGCTCCTTTATGCCAGTGTTGACCATATTATCTAAGGCACATATACTTATTTTATTTTCCTGGAATCCTATCTTCATGCACTTCTTGAAAGCTGGTAATTGCTATGATTTCGAAGCCATTTGACTCTGTGCTATCTTCTCCATTTTGTATTACATTTTTCTTACTACCAGATGCTCTGCTCATTAATGTCAGAGAAAAGTTGTTATCATGCTGTAAATATGAGTATTCCTGAGCTTTGCTGGTTCAGGCCACATGCTATTCCTTTGAACCATTCTAGTTCAGTAGAATAGATGCTTTTGCTTTTTTAAGATTTACTTTTTCTACTTTATGTGTAGGAATGTTTTGCCTGCCTGCATGCATGCCACAAATGTACCTGTTGGATGTCCTGGAGCTGGGGTTATGGGTGGTTGTGAGCCACTGTTTGAGTGCTGGGAATTAAGCCTGGGTCCTCTTCAAGAGCAGCGTCTCTCCAGCCCCCATACTAACTTTTCCTCCCTTGTTATCTACCAACTTAGTGATAACTGCTCTGCCTCATTCCCTGATTGGTAGTCCTGCCTTGTGAATGGGTTTAGTGCCATATGCTTTTATGTCAGAAGGATTTGGTGTTTAAGACATGGTTCTTGCCATGAAATTTACATTCTCTTAGGGAATTATGACATGTATGGTAAGTTTTATTGTTGAGCTATTCCAGACGATTCAGGATCCCAGGGACCAGAAGTGTGAGATAGGATGAGAATATTAGTGGAAATGGAATATGAGTGGATTGTCATTTAGAAGTGTCAGTGATGTACTGATGCTTGAACTAGGTCATGGAGGATGTACGTGAATGACACAGGTGCCGAGAAAAGGCATGGGCAGAAGCTGGAGGGACGGGGTAGGTGTGGCTGAAGGCTCACGGTGAACTTAAAACTGTATCCCTGGCTCAAGGACCTCCCTCCATGTCCATTGACTTTACTTCAGTTTAGATTCACGTTCAGAAGCTACTGCTCTCAAAATATCTTTGCATTTAAATCACACCTGCACTATTTTTTTTTTTCCTGTTCCAACCTCTCCTTCCTACTGTTACTGGTGGAATTCTTTGAAGCACACTGCTACACTGAACTCTGATTGTTGCTCAGGTGCTCACAGCCCATCTGCCTTGATGCCTTGTGCTGTGCTCATACAGCACATGGCTGACCTTGTCTTGCTCTCAGGCTTCTGTCCACTTACTCCTTTGTTCTCTCTTCTTGTTCCTGATCTGCTTGCTCCCTGTCTCATTGGCTGTAAGTGATACTACTAAAGCACCGATTGCCTAATTAGTTTTGCTTTTAAGATAGGCAATTTGAAATAAAAAATTTAAAAGAACTCCTTTTAAAATTGGATTCATATATATGTGCATTTATATAGATATATGAATGAAACATTTTAAGTTTTGTTTGGTCTATTTTGGGTACTGTTTTAGATTCTTTTAAAATTATAATTCAGGTTAATCTGTAGCACTGTAGATTCCTTACATAGTTGTACTTTTAGAACATTTTTAATAAAGCTCTATAGTAATAGTTGGGTAGCTTATTACTGGCTTTACAATTTGAAATATTTAATATTTCAGAAAGCTATTACTGTTAATCTGTCTTTTTCAGCTTTTAATTTGCAGCAGCTCTGGCCCTCATCATTTGATAGATACTTTGATTGTGTTTCCTGCTCTAGGTTATCTAACACATTAGGACAGTCTGATATGGACTCATTTTGTCACTCTTGATATTTACTGTTTTCTGAAGGTTTATTGTTGGGAATGTTAACTTGTGTTTGTTTGTTTTGTTTTCTCTTTTTCTAGTGAAGAAGTCTGTATTTTATCGGCATCTGGCACAGCGGCTGTACTGAACCCTCGGTTTCTGCAGGAAGGCACCGTGGAGGGCTGTTTGGAACAGAGGTTGTTATGGCTTGCTTTCCTAGCTAGAGAAGAGAGAGATACTTTTTGCAATGTCAGAGCTTGGGCAGTTTCATGTATAATTTGTTGACAGTGAGGTAGTATCCAGCTGGTACCAGCTACTTGCTGATTCTTCTCAGCTGCTCTGGGCTAATGGAGGTGTGGGGTTCTGTCTTCTACATCATGGACATCATTGCCTTTGTGTCCTCACGAAGTCCCATATATGACTAACAGTACAAGAACTTCAAGTATACCTTTTTTTTTTTAGCTTTCTCATAAAATGGACCTAATTATTTTTTTTCCTTTTCCTCTTTTTGACTCATCCCAACAACACAATTTATTCTCATAAATTCCTTTTTCACAAAATAATCAAAGCACTTACTATATTGTGGTAAACTGTTTAAAAGCTTTATGAAAAATGACTTTAATGCACATGAAATGGAAAATGAGAGTGTAAGTTAAAATCAGCTTACTTTTTACTTAATTCTTGATTTCTTTAACCTTTTAAACTGTTAGCTTTTATAAATGTAAGAAATGTTTCTATAAACAGATAAAGATGTCTAAAGTATACATAAATGTATGTAAATATATTAGAGCTACTAGCTTAATATTGGCATCTTCTGTGATAAAAACAGCTAAATTATATAAATTAAGGAAGAAAGGATAAAAGTCTTCCGTGTTCCAATTAAGTGTAACTTTGCAAGAAGATATGATGAGGGATGATTCGCTAGTTTCGGTGAAGAGGACCTTGGTTAATTTATTCTTCTGAGAATGTTCAAGTGGATATTGGCCATTCCTTATTCTAGAGCCTTCAAAATCGGGGGTGTGGTTGAGGAATTGGACTATACTATTGAGTGACTTGCCTGGTACATAGTGTAGTACCTAGGCTGAGGGTGAACCAGAGCCTGTGCTTGCTGGGCAGGCTACAGTCAGCTACACCTGAGGGGCACTGCATTCTTGAGTAAGGTAGAAGAGCACCACTGGGTGAACTTAGGAATCTGATGAAGTTAGGCAAGTACTTTGCCGTGGAGCTACATCCCTAATTTTTTAGAAACTGAATTTAAAAAATTTCCCCAAAGCTGTCTGGCCATTTGTTTTTGTAAATTCCAGTATAACACTTTAAAACGTCTATTATTGTAAGTGTTATGTGGAGGAGGGTTGTGGTTACACATAGGTCAGAGCGTGTGGGCGGTAGTCAGTACAACTTGTGGGAGCGATCTCTTTCCTTTTACCATTTGGGTTCCAGGATCAAATGCAGGTGATGAGACTCAGTGGCAACCAGCTTTATCTACTGACAATTCTTGCCAGATCCTCCTCACCCCTCACGGAATGTCGGTGCTTACTAAAAATAATTTTGAGACTATAGGAGATTAGAAAGAAAAATGATTCCCTTAGTCTCAGTATTCAGAGAAAGTTCTTTCTATACTTTTTGTGTTTCTTATGATTTGTACTGCTCTGATCTTTGTGCCTCACAATGTTGCTTGCAGACACCCAGATCTGTGCAGAGTGCTTAGTTAAAGATGGCTCCAGTTAGTCTCTATCCTGAATTCAAATAAATGGGAAGCTCTCACAGGTCAGCTTAGCAGGCTGCCTTGTACCTCGGGCTGATTCAGGCTGAATAGACTTGCGTTTGCACCTGTCAGGTAGACGTTACATTTGTAGGGTGGGTAGATTTAGTTGTAATTTTCTAAACTTTCAAAACAAAACAAAAACCTAGAAAACATTTCTAAGTAGTCATTTCAGTTTTATAGATTAGGCTGCCTTGGGTTTAATAACTGCTGTGGAGTCACCCTGCTGACGAGCCACATGGTCCAACAGCTTGCAGTGACTGGGTAGTTGTGGTGCTCGCTCTTGGCCTATTTGTAATATGTCAGATGAAGCAGTTCTTTTGGCCTCAGGAATGGTAAGGTGCTAGAAATAAGGAATCTTAGTGTATACATTTTTCTGACTTTCTTTCTTTTTTTTTTTTTAAGTACTTTTTTGTTAAAAATTTTCCCCAATTTCTTAGTTTTGGCACTTTCACACATGTATTTAATTTAGTATATGTTGGCCATCTTTGCCCTTTATTACCATCTATCTTTACCCTATTCGTAATGAAACATTTCTCCCTAGCAGGTCCCCCTTCTGCTTTCATGTGTCTTTGGGGGACCCACTGAATTTAATTAGTGTTGCTTCTGTGAATGTGGGGTGGAAGTTGCTTACTGAAGCATGGACAACATACCAATGGCCACCCCACTGCAGAAAGTTATTCTCCCTCCCTCAGCAGCCATTAATTCTCAGTGTAGCAGCAGCCTCCCGAGGAGGAGTAGAACTTCTTGAGCTCCTCCCTCAGGCACTGGGGATGTTAGTAGACCTTAGCTTGTAGATCTTGTGTTGGAATGTGTTGGAACCACAGTGGCTATATGTTCATGGGTGTGTGATCATGTCATTTACAGAAGACAGTGTTTCACAGCACTTGCCATCCCCCTATGTTCTAACATTCTTTCTGCCCCTTGTTCTGCAATGTTCCTTGACCATAATGGGGGTGATACAGTTGTTTCACTTTAGGGCTCAGCACTCAGTGTTGAATCACTTACTCTCAGCACTTTGACCACACATGAGTCTCTGCCTTAACCATCACCCACTGCAGGTAGAAACTTCTCTCACCAAGGCTCACAGTACCATTAGTCTATGGATATGTGTCAGTGTTTAGAAGGCAGTTTGACACCATGTCTGTTTAGCAAACAATAGTAGTTTCCTAAATAGGGCCAATGACCTCCCTAGCCAGGAACTCCTGCCTGGGTTTTACAGTACTAGGTATAAGTTCTTCCTGTGGAATCTGCCTTCAATCCAATCTGAAAACAGTTGATTACTTACAGTAGTAACCCCGTTGTACCAGTGAACACATCTTGCCTGACAGTTTGCTGTTGCCGCTCACAGGGTCTATTACTGGGTAACACTTTCCTCCAGAAGCCTGCATGTCACTTAGCACTGTGTAAACTGGTTTGCAGGAGGGAAGGTTAATTCAGAGCTTGGTATCTGTGCGTCCTGCAACCAAAACATTTGGTGTCTTACCTTACCATTCAGTTCTCACAGGTAACCAAGAGCTATTTTGTTTTATTTGTTTGTTTGAGTTTTCTGTTTGTATTTACTAACCATTAGGAAAACGTTATCTTTGCTGTCTATCCATTTGTTTTTTATATTTATCCTCCTTGCCCCCAATTTTTGTGTCAGAAGTCCTCTTTGTCATGCTGTGGCAAATGAGGGAACAGAATTAGTATAATTTGACTCCTTTTTTCCTTAGAGTAGTAGCAATAGCTCCGATTTCATGGTTGCTAGCAGTTTATCACTCACGAAGGCATTCCTAGTCTTCTGGTGTAGGTTGTAGGAGTTTCTACACAGATACTCTATATGTAATATATATTGTTTTAAGTGCCATAAAAATTTTGCGATTGTCCTATGACTCCTGTTTGCTATTTTTCTTTTTTTGAGGGTGACTAGGTAATGGATCCTGAGTAGAATACCTTATTTTAAAAAATATATTTATATAGGATTGAAGAAAATTTGCCTGTCGGCTGCGGATTCTGCCACATACCATATGATGAACTGAACATGCCATTTCCAGCTCATCTCACATACTGCTATAACTGCAGGAAACAAAAAGTGCCTGATGTTCTCTTTACAACTATAGATTTGCCCACAGATGCAGTGGTTGTTGGAAAAGGTTGTCTTATTCAGGCAAGGTATGTTTGTATGAGGTACAAAGTCATAAATTTGTTGTACAATAGCTATTGTTTCTTTTATTTAAAAAAATGTATTTATTTATTTATTATGTATACAGTGTTCTGCCTGTATGTATGCCTGTAGGCCAGTAGACGGCACCAGATCTCACTATAGATGGTTGTGAGCCACCATGTGTGTGCTGGGAATTGAACTCAGGACTTCTGGAAGAGCAGCTAGTGCTCTTAACCTCTGAGCCATCTCTTCAGCCCCTCTCTATTTTTTCTTACATGTTTTATCTTGAACTAACAGGGCAGCTCCACTTGAACCTTGTATTTATTCCCTGTACAGCTGCAGAAAAAACATTGTGTATAACACTCAAGATCTTCAGTTCTGTTGTACATATGTTTATTATATGTATCAGTTAATTTTGTACTGGCTTGGAGTATGGCTAAATATCAACTGCTTTAGAGACCTCTACTATATTCTGGAACTGCATGCTTTTTAGGGGTTTTGTTTGTTTGTTTTCTTTTGAAGAACAGTGTTCCATGATGTTTATGGTTTTTTTGCACAAAACTCAGCTGTTCATCATTGGAATCAGGCATCCTGGGGCGTGACACATGCAGCAGACAGCCCTAAGTGTCTAGGTCACCAACACCTGCCAAGTTTTCTTGTCCCTTGGGTGTTCTGTCTTCACCTCGAAACTTGAGCAGTAGTGACACGCCCAGTCCTTTTCCCCTGAGATTACTTTGGTTTCACAGTGTCATACTGAGTTTTTTTTTTTTAACTTTTTACTTTAATTTTGTATGTATTGATGTTTTGCCTACATGTATGTCTGTATGAGAGTGTCAGATCTGCTGGAACTGGAGTTATAGGCTGCCATGTGCTAGGAATTGAACCCAGGTCCTCTGGAAGAGCAACCAGTGCTTTTAACCACTGAGCCATCTATCCAGCCCCCTGAGTCTTAAAGATCGATCGATCGATCGATCGATCTATCTATCTATCTATCTATTTATCTATCTATCTATCGAGTAATATGTGTGTATGTGTTCTTGCAAGCCAGTGGTTGCTGGGAATTGAACTCAGGACCTCTGGAAGACCTCTTAATCCCTGAGCCATCTCTTTAGCCCCCTACCCCATGCCTTTATTAACACAGTAAATGCTCTTCAGTCTGTTGACTAACTCTCATGGGAGCCATGGATTTGGACCCTCTGTCAACTCATAGGTGTATGCGCTGTGCTTCTGCCTGTGAGTCCCGTATTTATAAATCTAGTGTAAAACATGCTCCTGAACTGCAGAGCTGTACACCTCCATGCTCCTTATATGCTGAGCCATACACACCTTACATTGCCCCTCCTTTTCATGTCCAGCTGGGGAATCATTGATAGTTCCCTCTTGTACACAGCAGATTAATTCCACAGTTATGTTGAGTGTTGTTCTGAACTAGAACAGCTCTATTTTATTTAGTGTCTTCTTTTGTCTTTTGCTTCCATTTGGGATTAACTCCCCCTCCCTCAGAGACTGTATCCTGCAGTATTATTTGATGATCTGTTGGTGATGAATATTGATTGATTGGTCTGGAAATGTATTTATATTTATATAGGAAACAGCTGCAGGTGTTTTTGTGAGCACAGTAAAGACAGCCTTTACCACTGCCTCCTGGCTGTCGTTACTGCTCTACGAGTGGTGAGTTGAGCTAACTGTGCTCCCTTTGAAGGCTTTCTGTTGCATAATAGGTGCTCAAATAACTTGTGTGCTTAAGCTAACATTTCTCTCTGCTAGTCATTCATCCTGTATCACATGCGGTTATAGAACCCACGATTTAAAAACATATTTGTGTGTGTGTGTTGCCTACACGTATGTAAGTGCGCACACCGTGTGCATACCTGGTGTCTGCAGAGGCCAGAAGAAGGTGTCAGACCCCTGAGCTGGAGTTAGATAGAGATGGCTGTGGGCTGCCATGTGGGTGCTTGGACTTGAGCCCTGGGTCTCTGGAAGAGCAGTCAGTGCTGAGCCACCGATAGTCTTGGAACCTAAGATTTTTAATTGTGTAGTGATTATGATCATAATTCCTTTCTAGAGAGTCTGAGGTTTTAAATTTCTGCTTAACTGAGCTACAACTTGGAATAAAGACAGACCTTGTAACAGCAATGGCAAAGCAACAGTTATAGTGTAACAAATATGTTTGAGACTAATGTGTTTCCAAAAGTAAGGAGCCTTTTCTGGAGCTCAGACCCAGGACCTCAAGCATCCTAAAAAGAACTTTTCCATTAAACTAGGTCATTCCACTGAACTTGGACATTTCTTAGGAAGGTACCAGGAACAATGTATTGACAGAATTTTTCTTTTTGTAGGTTATGTCGCCTGAAAAAGAAGGCACAGGCAGAAGCCAATGCCACAGCTATCAGTAATCTTCTGCCGTTCATGGAGTATGAAGTACACACTCAACTGATGAACAAGCTCAAACTCAAAGGAATGAACGCTTTGTTTGGACTAAGAATTCAGATTACAGTGGGCGAAAACATGCTGATGGGCTTAGCGGTGAGCTGAGAGGCTGTTGCATGTCTTTCGTCAACTTTGTAGCTGGGGTTTGTTGTGTGGGCTTCAAAGTGTTACGTAAGAGATGGCATAGCCAACTGTGGTAGTGCATCCTTATCATCCTGCACTTAGGGTTGGAGGTGGGGATCAGGAGATCAAGGCCTGCCTGGGCTATACAGCAAGACCCTGTCTCAAAAGAATAAGAAAAGTAGAAGACTTAGCTACAGAAATGGACATCAAACCTTTAATGGTTGGAGATGTTTTAGGATATAAGTCTGGTGATTGACTTTTACAGAGCTTTAAGGAACTAGTCTAAACGTTATTATTCCTAGTTCACTGAGTTGGAACCACTGAATTGAACTCTTATTATTATTCATATATTGGGCGGTTGGCAGTTAAAGGATTTTCATCGTTGTGTTAGCAGCTTTCAAATTGTATTTTGTTGGTCCATCTTTTCATGACATGTAGAAGTATTTAATTTATAAAATCTATGGACGTTTTAGTTTTTATATAAATTTATAATTAAAATACAAAATTATTTCCTGTTTTATTTCATTTTTTATTAGACCAAGTATGTACATTTATTTATTATTTTTAGATTTTGAGACAGGGTTCTTGCTAATAAACACAAGCTGGCCTAGAAGTCATGATCTTTCTGCTTTAGCCTTCCGAGTACTGGATTTGTAGGTATACACCACTATTCTCAGCTGATTTTTTCCCCTCATTTGCTTGCTTTATTCACTTTACATCCTTGTAGCCCCTTCTCTTCTCCTTTACTAGTCCCACTCTCTCTCTTTCCCCTCCCCCTTTTCCTCAAAAAGGGGAACTCTCATCAAGTTGTATCAGAACTGAGCACGTCCTCTTCCCCTGTGGCCTGACAAGGCAGTCCTGCCAGGGGAAAATGATTTAAAAGCTAGCAAGTGAGCCCATTTCTGATGCAGTCACCACTTTTACTAGAGGACATACATGAAGCCTAAGTTGCCCATCTACATCTTTGTAGGGGGCCAGCTTTGGTTTTTGTATGTAGGCGATAACTATATGATTGTGGTAAATCTGTTAGTTCATGGCATTGCTGTAACCTAAGGCCTGCACCATGGAATGCTTTCATGCTCTCTAGTGACGCCACTTACAGCTGCCTGCCATTGTCTGCTACAACACTGCGTGCACTGAAGTCTTATGGTCTGAAGGCTAGTCTATGCAATAGCTGACAAGGGGTCCCTGCTAGGTGGTACTCAGGAACAGAGGACAGTGCTGCCAAAGGCCAACATCCCAAAGTGACAGGGTCTTATACGCTGTTACTGATTTCAATCTCAGGCCTGTCTGCTTCTGCAGTTCAAGACTATTGTATGTCATCAGTCAATGAATGTAGCAAAGTGTTGAGGTGATGTTGGCAGGTTGACATGAGGAGCTAAGTTATGGCTATGCTGGTTAAGTTCTGGAAGGGCTGCCAATGTTTAGTTTCAGCTGATGTGCAGACATCATTATAGAATTTCAAAAAGTTGACAGTTGACAGACTTCACATCAAATATCCAAGCATCCAAAATTGAAAACACTGCCTCTCACTATTTCCCATACCTACACTGTAATGCTTTTTTTCCTGTTATTGTTTCACATTTATTTGTGGGTGTGCATGCACCATGGTACATAAACTGTGATGCCCATGTTGGGACCAATGGACAGCCTGTGGGAGTCTCTTCTCTCCTTCCACCATGTGGACTACATGGATGGAACTCAGGTCATCAAGCTTTGCAGAGGTTGGCTTTCCTTGTCTTTACATCTTGTCAGCCCTGCTTTTTGTTCTTTTTGAGATGGGGTTTCATGTAGCCCAGGCTGGTCTTGAACTTGTTATGTTACTGAGGCTGGTCTTGAATTCCTGATCCTCTTGGCTGTACCTTTTAAGAGCTGGGATTGCAGGCATGTGCTGCCACACCCACCTTTATGCTTTCCTTTCTTTACATTTTGCTCTGCTCGTGGTAGCTTACACACATGTGCACACCACACAGATTGATTTTGCTTTATCATTCCCATAACTTTCCGATACTGCTAACATGTAGGGACTGCAGTAGAATGGGAAGTTGTTACTGGTGTCAAGTACATTGTTTCTGTTGGTGGCTTTGGAATAAGGTGGGGGAGCGAGACGTACCGATGAGACGGTTCATGGTTCTTGCTGTGTCCGTCTGTCCTCGATCACAGCCGTTCTCTGTTGCTTTCTGCAGGCAGACTGTGCACTAAAGGGCAATAAAACTGCTTTGGTAACTTTTTTCTTTTAGCTAAGGTAAATTTGATCTCTAGTAATTTTTATGTATTTATTTTAGATTTTGAGCTGTGGTCTCATAGTGTAACCCAGACTGTCCTGGACCTCACAGTGAAGTTCAGGCTTACCCAGCTGTCATATTTTCCTGCCCAAATTGCCTTTTTTTTTTCTTTTATAAGTATGAGGTAAAGCGTGAAAGATAAGTTGTTATGTAGTTAGATACCTCCTTTCAGAGCTCTCTCCCATCTAGTTAGGGATCTCCCCAAAATAGGCCGACCTTGTTAGCAGTGTTTTTGTATGTGCTTGTAGACTTGGCCTGGCCATGGGTCCTTTGTCCACAGTGAAATGCACATTCCTAGATAGGGAACTTACACCATCATCGTTTGATACTCTGATTATATTCCTGTTACTTTCACAGTCGGCCACAGGGGTCTACTTAGCAGCCTTGCCAACGCCTGGTGGGATCCAGATTGCTGGGAAGACCCCTAATGATGGCTCCTATGAACAGCACATCTCCCACATGCAGAAGAAAATCAATGACACGATCGCCAAGAACAAGGAGCTGTATGAAATCAACCCCCCGGTGAGTGAAGCCCACATAGTGGATTCACCAGCTCCTGCTCAGGTGGAGTGTATTTGCAGGGCATCTTATTTCTGCCTCCTCCCTACTGCCTTTGCTTAATGTCTTCTTTTGGGTGAGGCCTCCTCTCCCATCCAGTGTACATGGAACAACTCTCCTTTTGGGTAGCACTTCTTGTTACCTCCTTGTTTATGTCCTGAGACAGGCATGTACATGTGTCACTGTGTATGTGCAATTGTGTGCATGTTCACAAACCCATAGATTCTAAACTTTGTTTTTCTCTCGCACATGCTCCATGATAGCCTTGTATCTTGTCCTAGAAAGGTCTCTCTATAGCGAGAGCCTCTCAGCACAAACTTGTCAGATATGTGTTGTTTAAAATGCTCTTTTTTTTTTTTTAAGCTGGAGTATTGACTTACATTTGTAATCCCAGCAGTTGTGTGGCTGAGGCAGACCGATTGCTGTGTGCTTGAGGTCAGCTGGGCTACAGAGTGAGACCTTCATGAGAAAGAAAGGAAACAGATCCTCTTTAGTAAAAAGATGACTTTTGATGAAAGTGCAGTAGTGGAGAATGTTTCAGTGATTGCTCCTTTCACAGTGCTCACTAGCCATAGTCAAGCTTACTAAGCTGGCCGCTGTAGCACACACTGCTTCTATACTACAGATACCTTCAGCTACAGTCTGAATTAAAAGAAACATACTGTAGTTACAACCAAACTATTTGTTTTATGAGTTGAAAATGTAATCTTTTGAATGTCGTGAGATAAGTAAAAATTTTATTAAAATTAGTTCTGTTATTATCAAGTATCACTAGCTTTGTGTTTCTGTTAGACAACTTGAACCTTTTTTTAAAAAGCAATGAAAAGCTGAGGTGTTTCTATATTAATATCTGAAAAATAGCCAAGCCTAGCGTGCATTCCCACCTTTTCCAGAACTCTGCAAGGCTTGGGGGAAAAAAATAAAAAACCTTTGCTAGCACGGGCTGAAGCCATTCAGCAGTGTGTTGTTGCTAAGGAAACACCTCCTCCCCTGTTCCCTCAACCCCCCTCCCCTCCCTGCCCAGGCTATCTGAGCTTTCTTAGGCCCTATGCTTGGATTTCTGTCCAAGTTTGGATTACATGCCTATTGTGATGGGTGCCATTTGTAAAATTATAAAGTTATAATTTGGGGGAGGGGCTTTTCTAATCACCCATTCTAGCCCGAAAGTACAGATTTAGTCAACCAGCTTTAAGGCACTGGAGCTGGGCCAGTATAATCTATTCTAATTCCTTATGCTAGTCTGGCTACATCCCAGCTACACGCCTGGATTACTTGCCAAATCTGTCCCAACTGGGCTGCTTCTGCTCCATCGGGTCAGTCCTCATGCCCACGTCCTTTCTCTACCTCTTCTCCTTTTTTTCTTCCCTCTTGTGATCTCCACCTGAGACCCCAAGATTGGGAGTAGAAGTCCCTCCTCCCTGTCTTCTCTGGCCTAGCTTCTTTATTAACCAATCAGAGATTTGGGGGAGCATGCTTTACACCATGTTGATCAGTGATGATGACAGTGTTCACGTTCTGAACACTGCAACCAGATTTCAGGGCACAGAAATCAGCATCTGAGTACACAGTACACCAGACCAGCCCCTAACACTTTTGAAGAGAAAACATCTGTGTCTTCCGCTACCCGAGAGGTTAAACTTAAATATAGAGTTCATTGAATGTATCTTGTGGATTTTTTTTTTCTTTCCAGGAAGCTGCCTATTATTGTATAACTTTAAAAGCAAACTGAAGAATTCAGTCTTTGTAATTATGTTTCTTTCAGGAGGTATCTGAAGAAATGATAGGATCACCCATCCCAGAGCCTAGACAGCGCTCAAGACTTTTAAGATCACAATCAGAAAGTTCTGACGAAGTTACAGAGTTAGACCTTTCACACGGGAAAAAAGACGCTTTTGTTTTAGAGGTAAAATTGCATTGCAATATGTCCTAAAAGGCCGAGAAGATAATTGGTTTCTAAACTGATGTGACAACTTGTACTGGGTTATAAGTCTCAGGGGAATTGTAGAAATCACATAGACTTGAAGACAGCAGCACTTGGTAACTGGTACAGGAATGTAAATAGCTCTGAAGCCACCACGGTTAAAATGATAGTAAAATGTAAGCTGAGCAACCATCATCAGAACCCTGAAATCTGAATTACCCAGAGAGTCTAAGAATCTTGAGGCTAGGGCTGTAGCTCATTTGGTAAAGTGCTTCCTAACATTCATGAAGCCTGTATACAATTCCCAGCACCATGAAAACTGGACATGTTGCTTACCCCTATGACCGTGGCACTCCAGAGGAGGTACTCTTTGACTGTATAGTGAGTTCAAGGCCAGCTTGAACAAGAGACTCCCCAAAGAAAAAGATTTAAAAGCTCACTTTAAAAGTTCTAGATCTTGGAGCATTTTAGTCTCTGGAGCTAAGGAGAAGGAATGGTCAGCTCCTGGCACCTGTGTAGACGGCAGAGTTTGGAGCACTGGAATCTGAAGGTTGCAGCCCCAGCATTGTGGGAAAGGAATGGAATAGTTAAACATTTGGAGTTATTTTTTGTAAATTTGAGTGAGTTAAATCAGAAAATGTACTGTTTTAACACAGTGTGGTTACTCTTTATGATTGTATTTGCTGAGTATTGCTGTGTGCGCTTTGCAGTGATCTCCCACAGTGCAGAGTTCAGTGTGTTCTTGTTGCATGCAGGAGGTTCTGTTGACAGCCTTGAACACTTACACCCCTTTCCCAGAGAGTGGCCCTGGCACAGTGCTCAGCAACTCACTGTTCTCAACCCTTTCCTGAGAGTAGCTCAGCAGAGACAGGATCTCTTGTTACTACTGAGAAGAAACGAGTGATACATGCATGTTGTGAGGAAAACATGGCTGGGCAGAATCTGGGGCTTTGATTCAGTGACTCTGGCAGCTGGTGGAAGAATTGTGTTGGGATGAGAGTCTGAAACAGGACTCTGAAACATGGGGGCCAGCCATGAGAAACAAGTAACTGAGTGAAATCAGAGGCATTTTTTCTCTTAACATTTATTTGTTTATTTTTATGCATGTTTGTATGTGTGTGCACCTTCATGGGTTTATACAGGTTGTCCCTGAGGACAGAGAGATCCCGATGTCCAGTACTGGAATGGCAGGCATTTGTTGTGAGCCACACAGCATGGGTGCTGGGGACCAAAGCTGGATTCTCTGCAAGAGCAGTATGTGCTCGTGACTGCTGGGCATCCGTCTTCTCCTGAGATGAGATTTCATTTTCAGAGATCCAAACTATAGTCTGCTTTCCAGTGCTCTGCAGTGTGATACGGGGACAGGGAGAGCGGTGGAGAAGCAGTGTGCTTCAAGGAGGCAACTGGCTCTGGGATGTGAGTTACCACTGCCGGCGGTAACGCCAGTGCTTCCCGGAGCTTGAAGAAGTGGGGTTGTTAGCACTCTGTTGATCTAGGAAAAGAGAATTTCAAGGTAGGTCCCTAAAAGTGTCTAATAGGCTCTCCGCCTGGCTCAGCCTCACCTGAATGCTGATCCAGAGTATACCTGATATGCCAGGTGCTAGGATCCTGGTTGGGCAGAGGCACACAAGAAAAGGTACTTCCGAGTGTGGGCAGAACATGAGGGCAGGTGGCAGATTCAGTAAGAGAGGGGACAGAGATAGGGAACGCTTGCCACCCTGCTTGTGTGGTGTCTGGGGAATTGTGGCGTGAGGTGTGACCATGACTGGGCAGCCAAGCTGAAGTGCAGGTGAACATGGCTGTGGGGTATTGTGATGTAGGAACACTGGTTTATTTAGGCTTGCTTATATTATGTAGAAAGTATTTTTATAAGCATTTGAAAACTCTACATAAAAATAACCTCAGTATACTTTAGTGTATAAAAGGTTTCACTTGGAAGTGTTTGAAGTTATTACTGTGGGAAAATTTGCTGATGCTAGAATTTTTGTCTTATGTTACATTTTTATTTACTGGTCATGTGCATGAGTCTCTGTGTGTATGAGCATATGTGTACAGGTGTCTGCAGAGGCAAGAAGGGGTGTCTTAGTTACTTTTCTATAACTGTGAAGAAATACCATGACCAAGGCAACTAGTAGAAGAAAAGAGTTTACTGAGGCTTATAAATTCAGAGGGCAAGAGCCCATGACCATCATGATAGGGAGCATGGCAGCAGCAGGTCGATGTGAGCAGTAGCTGAGAGCTACATTCTCATTTGCAAGTAGGAGACAGAGAGAAGGAGCTAACTGCAAGTATTATGGGCTTTTGAAACCTCAAAGCCTAAATGACTCACCTCCTCCAACGAGGCTGTACTCTCTAATCCTTCCCAAACAGTTCCACCTATTCAGGTGCATGAGCCTATGGGGGCCATTCTCGTTCAAACAACTGCAGAGAGCAGTGGGTCCACTGAGGCTGGACGTTGAGGCTGGGGATTGAGTTCTGGGAATCGAACTCCAGTTCTCAGGAGAGCAGCAAGCATTCTTAGCCCCGAGACATCTCTCCAGCCCCTGTTAAAGGCATTAGCTCTGTAGTTTTTAAGGAATCGGGACAACTTCATGTTTAGTGGTTCTATAGTAGTTTTATCTTTGTGTATCTAGATCGACGACACTGATGCCATGGAAGATGTGCATTCCCTCCTTACTGATGTTCCCCCTCCTTCAGGTATGCAGCAAGCCAGCCTTGAGATAGAGCCGCTGTTCTCTCTACCATCGGTGGAAGGCCCAGCTTTCTTTTTTTAGTTATTCATTCATTTACTGTTTTTTGAAATGGAATGTCATGTAATTCAGGCTGGCATTGAAGGCAGTATGTAGACAAAAGTAATGAAAGTTGTTTTTTGTTTGTTTGTTTGAGACAGGGTTTCTCTGTTTACCTCTGGCTGTCCTGATACTCAGAGATTCACCTGCCTCTGCCTCCCCAGTGTGTGCCACCACTGCCAGGTGTAATGAGAGTTTCATTTATAAGTCTATAGTTGAGAAACATCATTTCTAAAGAGCAAAATCAGTAAAATAATACATTTTAATTATAATTTGTTTTGGCAGGTTTTTATAGTTGTAATACAGAAATTATGCCTGGCATAAATAATTGGACATCAGAAATACAGGTAAACCTTTTATCAGATTGAAGCAAATATATTATGAATAATTTTCACTTAAATACCTGTTCTCCTTGACCCCCTAGTAGCACTTACAAACACTATCCTTTTAATTAGATAATCATATTTGCCAGTTTTATCAATGATTAGATATAGGCTTGGATTTTTCACCAAACCTATGTTATGTAGAGTTCTTAAGCGCTTCTACCTCTCTTCCACCCACTGACCAAAGGTAAGGGAGAAAGGTTATTAGGTGAAGGGGGGTTGTAGACCATTTTAGAAGTGGTTCCTTGGGGTGAGTCCACTCTTCATTGTCCGGACACCAGCAGTGCACTCCAAATGCCAGCACCAAGCAGCAACACAACTCGGTACACTTCAGAAGATCTGGAAAAGTCAACAAAAGCCACAAGACTCGGGTGGATTGCCCCACGAAGTGCACTGGAATATTTCTCTCTGCAAAGTCAAACGTCAGAGCACTAAGATCAGTGCAGTGATGTCGATCCAAAGAGCAATGTCTCACTGTCCATGGGCTTCTATATATGTCCTCTCCTCAATCCACCACGGATGTTCTCAGATGACCAAAGTCACTTCCCTTACATGAGACAGCTCACAGGAAAATAAGATCATGTGCCCTCTCACAAGCCAGCTTCTAGCAAAACAACGCATGACTCAACTGAGTCTTCAAAGAAACTAGAAACTTCCACTTGATTTAGACTTTTAGGAAAAACTAACCAGATGTCCCATTATTCTCTCTCACACACCTAGATGTTCACATCGGTGAGAGTGGTGAGGCTGAGTAGCCTCAACTTGACAAACCAAGCACTGAATAAGAACTTCAACGGCCTGTGTGAGAACTTGCTCAAGGTAGGAGCATGCCACTCATAACCTGGGTTAACTGGACTAGTCTCCTTTGTCCATAGCATCTCAAGGGGCTGGAATGCACTGTTTCTGTGAGCCTGTGGGTCTGGGCCACACTGAGGTACTTAGCTTGTCCTTGCTCTTCTAAGAGACAGTATTATGAAAGAAGCTGTTTAACTTAGTAGCTTAACTTTCACAAAAATCTAGTACATCTGTAGAATGTTTTTAAGAGCCTAAGTTGTTGACAGACTTTAAACCTTTATTGGTGCTTGTTCTTTGTATGGAGTGGTGGGTTTCATAAAATTGTGTTACCTCATTGTAGAGGTGTGCTGTGACTGGGCTCCTGTCGGTCCCCTTACTTCCAAGGTAGCCCTGCCTCTCACTTCCTGTCCTGTGTTTCCATGACCGAACTCTGCAAGCTCTTATGCCTTACTGACAGCTGGTTACTGCTCTGCACTCTCAGGGAGAGGCCAGTTTTCTGTCCTTTCTTGGTTCTCACCTTTCATAATGTAATGTCCCTGGACAGAACTAACTACATGGATTCATTAGCGTGCAGTGAAGAGTGACGTCACCATCCCTCTCTTTTATGCAGAGCTTGTATTTCAAACTCCGGTCTATGACCCCCTGCTGCCTCTGCCATGTGAACTTTACAGTGTCTCTGCCTGAAGATGAGTTAATCCAGGTAATGCAGTGCCATTGGTTGTAGAAGAGGCTTCTGGTCCTCTGTGATCTGTTTTAGTTTAATGTTACAACTTCATAGACGTTTAGTTTAATAGTCAGTAACTTCACAGATGTTTTAACTCAGACTATCTGAAGGTATGTATTAGCATGCATCAGGCTGTGTACATCATATTTCTTACCGCTGGTTATCTGCAGGGGACTCGGGTGCAAGCCAAGTGAGCACACAGTAAACAGAATGGGGCTCATCGTTCCTGATTTCACCAATCCTCTTTGAGAACTGGTCTTTTAGAGATAGGTCATTCATTAAAGTCAGGGTTTAATAAACATGTTGCATGTCTGAGTTTACATAGAATTCTGGTTGAGAGTCTTAATCAAGCAGGGCAAACTACTCATCCCATGATAACCTGCTGAAAGAAAATGTAAGAAATTCTTTCAGTGATTATTTTACTAATCGTGCTTGTTTCTGTAATTCTAGGTCACAGTCACAGCAGTTGCAATTACTTTTGATAAAAACCAGGCCTTACAGACCACAAAAACACATGTTGAAAAGTCGTTACAGAGAGGTAAAACTTGATGTCTAGGAAGTAAAGTTCACTTTTGTCTGTTACAGTTTTGTGATAGGTTCTTAAGCTTAAGCCTGGAGCAGTAGACAGCTGCTGAGTAACTGGTGTGTGTTTGCCCCTCAAGCCTCCACAGATAATGAAGAACTGCTGCAGTTCCCGCTGGAGCTCTGCTCAGACTCACTGCCTTCTCATCCCTTCCCAGCAGCTAAAGGTTGGTCACATGGGAAGCTAATAGGCATGCTGCTACTTCTCTCTGCCTTCTCACTAGAGTCAGCAGAGGAGTCTGTCCTTCATTCCGCCATTGCGTGTTGTTCTTACTTTGTAAACAGATTTCTCTATATATGGTGAAGGTCATTTCTCTTATGTTCCATTCTTATGTCTCAGTTCTTCGAAAGTTTTACTTTTAAAGATTTTAATTTCCCAGTGTATATACTACGTATAGTGTATTTGGTATTTTATCTGTAAGTTTTCTTCTAGTAGAGGTTTTCAAACATTTTTGGATTTCCATGGAATCTCCAGAGGGATGCTCAGATTAGCCAGTGCTTCCATCTTTTACACAATAGTTGTAATTGGAGGACACTGTTTTTATAAGAAACTGATGGTTTGTAATGGGAAAACTCTCAAGTTCTACAATATGCAGAGAAGAATGGGAGGGTTGCTTTTCTGTTTCTCTTTTTGTTTTATTATAATTTTCATTTTGACTTCTCAAAACTATTGTATCTAATATGAAATATATATAAAATAAATGAAAATGTAATTTGTATTTTTCATAAAGTTTTTAATTGAGAAATGATTCATTTTTATTTACCATCAAATTAGTTAGTTATCTTTATATTTTATTATACAGTTGAAATTGTTTCAACTTATGAATACTTTCATTTGATAAGAAATTATGTATAAAACAGAAAAACTGCATGTGTGCACGTATGCCCGTGTGCATGTGTGTGTGTGTGTGTGTGTGCAAGTCCTTTCTGTCCATGTAGAGATATGTGTTTATCTCATAGTCTGTAGACTTGAAGAGATAAGTCATGTTCAGATTCTGACCTGGTAACCTTGGTCATCTTTTCTTGTGTCACCAACTGAATTCCTCTGTAGAACTTGTATAGAAAATCTTAGAATTCCTTAACTTCCTTAGAATAATAAAGAAGAAATCCAACCTAGTCAGTAAAGGCTTGCTTTCTTTTTCTTTTTTTTTTTTTTTTTAAAGATCTATCTATCTATATCTATCTATCTCTCTATCTGTCTATCTTATTTATTTATTATGTATGCAATGATTTGTCTGTATGTGTGCCTGGAGGCTAACAGAGGGCACCAGATCCCATTACTGATGAATGTGAACTACCATGTGGTTGCTGGGACTTGAACTCAGGACTTCTGGAAGAGCAGCCAATGCTCTTAACCTCTGAGCCATCTCTCCATTCCCCATGTCAGTAAAGGCTTAATCTGTCACTTTACAAAAATATGTTTGGAGTTGAGTGATACTAGGTGAATTTGGTGTCACTACTGACTGGATTCTGTAGAGGCTTATAATGAAGCTTGTAAGTTTGCTTTGTCCGTACTGATGTGGTCAGTATTAGTAAATGGTATTTTGTGAGCTGAAGAACAAGGGAAGAAACATTTGGATAGAATGTCTTATATGTGTACTGCCTGAAGTGTTTACTGCTCATTGTAGGCAGCATGACAGGCCTGAGATGGAGGAAAAATGGTGGAAAAGCCTGATGGCAGCACTGTTACCAAACAGGAATGCAGATCTGCTGAGACCTCTGTCAGCTCCGCTTCTCATGTCTAAAATCTGAAACAGTTTACACTACCTTTTAGCCTTTAAATTAAATTTTAAAAATTCCTTGGGTTTTAATAATTCCATGATTGTTAACATGTTTGTATTATTAAAAAAGTAAATCAAAGGCTGAATTCATGCTCAGGTTCAGAGAGCTTCCATCATTACCGCTGTTTCCAGGAAGCTCCAGTCAGTTAAATCAGCAAGTCAAATTCCTCTCTAAGTTTTAGGGTCCTTAAGAGTAGCCTCAGGGTGGAAGAAGCTGACAAGAGGGTAGAGAGTGAGATCTGCAGATCCACAGGTTATAGCATTGGCTCTCTATATCTTACTTGAGAAAGCTGTCCAGTGTTTGATAAACATTGAGTCATACCATATCACCTTCACTACCATCTTGAAATCAGAACGTTCATGTCTACGAATAAATGGAAAAACGTGTGTCAACTGGTGCTCCATGTAGAAACTGTGCTTTTCTGGAACACGAGAGCCACCAGTGAGTTCCTATAAGTGTATCTTTCCCTTTCACACATAGCTGTGTAAGTTCTGATTTGTCTTGTGTGTGTGCTGTCTTTCTTTCCTCTGTTTAGGGGCACATGGGCTAAATATATCTTTAAACTTTATTTCAAAGTAATTTGGAAGATTTGAGGCTGAAGTGGGCTGTGAAAACGTCTGAAGACTAGACCATTGTCTTGTGACACAAATGGAGGCCTTATGTGCTGTAACAGGGCAGTGTATTGAGTAGAGACAAAGTGTGTGAGAATCTCAGTTTAGCAGTGTAGAAGGGGCCACCAGAGGGTGGCGGGAGGCTCAGGAGGAATGGGCAGGGCCTGGCCTGCTCCCCCAGTGACCTGCTAGGGTGTCTAGGGCAGCTGCTCATGGTGCTCAGGGAGTGTGTGTGTGTGGCTCTGCTGAGCTGCCTAGCTAAGCTGGCAGAATTATTTCTTTTAGAAGAGTCCATGAATGTTGTCTTCTACTTAATATTCATGTTCTCAAAAAAAAAAAAAAGATTTGTTATGTGTTTATTACCTTTTATGTTGATAGGGAGAATAGTCTGAACAGTCAAGCATAGTATGTTTATTAATAATTGCACTTTGCTTTTAGTAACTTTTTCTTTTTTTGTTATCAACAAGGGTAAATGTGATGTACTGCTTTTGGTTTTTGTTACATGCATCTGTACTAGTTCACTGTGTAGAGTAAACAAGACCTGAGTTGTCCATCCATTTTCATTTTTCCTTTCATGATGTATTGTTTGGTTTTGTTTTTCAAAGTAACAAATGTTTATTGGTATGTCTCAGATTTCTGGTTGACTCAGTGTCACCTTGATGGTGAAATATTAAAAGATGCTGAATTTTTTGTTTTGTTTTTCTAGACAGGGTTTGTCTTGGCTGCTTGGCTGTCCTCACACTCACTCTGTAGACCATGCTGGCCTCAAATTTTATTTCTCCCAAGTGCTGGGATTAAAGGCATGCACCAGCACCACCTGGCTCTCAGTCATTTCTTAAAGGTGTCAGGATTTCCTGACAAGTCTTAGGACGAACATATGTGGCGTGGCACCAGCATAAAGTGTTTCTTAGAAGGCTGTGCTGTAAGAAAGATCGTCAGTGCAAGTTTTACACTGCTTCATAACGGTTTAGCCTCACCAATAGCCATGCTTACAGTTTTTTTCTGCAGTTGTTTTTTTTTTTTTTTAATATACTTTAAAAATGATTCCTATAGAAAAAAGGAAGAGATTAAATATAGTAAAAATGTAGAGTCTAAATGAAGTTATTCTGGGTAAAAATTTTTAAATGAGATTTTTCTCATAGAATGCAGATGGACTCAATAATTTTGTGCTTTAATGTTTGTAAATGATTAACACTACTTTAAAATCTGAAGACATAAATCTTGAGATATTAGTTCCAGTGAGCTGATGGACTGTAAACCACATACTACTTTAAAGATATCTCAAATGTTATAAATCTAATGTATTATAGTGATAGTTTCATTTAGATATTGATAGCTTAATACTATAAAAAAGTTTTAAAAGGATAACATAGTTTTTATTGGTTAAGAGTATGGACAAGAGTATGCTCCTGTTCCTCTCTTCATGCTGCTTTGTGCTTGCTCAGTCCTTCCTGCTGTTGACAAGGTGCTGTAGCCTAGCAGGGGGACTCTTATTTAATTGGCCACTGACTGACTACGGGAGCCAGCATGAAAATCTGTAAACATTAACTTACTTTTTCTACAGATGTTTCTGAATCCTTAACTATATATAGTAGCTCTTTATACTACTACAAATACCTTTATATAGTAATAGTCTCTTACATATCTCCTGTATCTGCTTTAAAAAAAAAAAAACAACTATATTTTGATGGTATGATCAAAATGGTGACAGCAATAAAAAGAATTTATAAATAGTCTTCATATAGTTGGATGGCCAGAGCAGTGGCAAGTGAGAGATGCTATTGGGGTAGAGAATGAGGACAGTGAAAACTAAAGAGACAGAGAGAGGCAAACCTGGTGTAACTCCAGAACTTGGGAAAATGAGGCAGGCCAGCCAGAGATGTTGAGTATGAGACCCTTTCTCAAAAACAAACAAATGCATGCATGCATGAATGAAGTGAAATCTAAAGCTAGGTACAAATGTCCATACCCCATCTAAGAGATGGGACGGATGGAAGGGACTTAATTAGTGGAGAAGCACGGGCAGGGGAGCATTCCCTCTTTCTTCAGGGCAGCTCGAGGTCAGTGAGATGAAGAAGAGGCAGAGGAGAGCAAAGTAAAGGAAAAGGCCTAGGCTGTTACGGAGAGAGGTAACAAATGGCAGGAAATTAAAGAAGAAGAAAGAGTAGGATGTATATCTTAGTTGCAGATGTACATGATCTACATGAAAGTTCACTGTCTGCTATCAACTGTACACCTTACTGATGCCTTTTCATTTTCCACTATAAACTATTCACGTTGACGCTACTATTTTTATCTATACCTTAATCATTTACAACTCATACGGCAACTTTTAATCAGTTCATCCACATCTAAGTAGATTTATATCAATCTTTAGAGTCATCATTAACTTAGTTATTAAGCCACCTTTTATAGATATAAGGTGTATCCAGTTCTTCATTATATTGATAAAAATGCTTGAAAGAATGTAAAACTCAGTTGTGATCATAGTAACCTAAAACTTTGAATGTTTAAATGGGGAATAATAAAAATTAAAGACTCTCCGGGCTATATACCTTTAACTTTACAAGAGAATATTATTTGTAGGGATTTTTAAGACAGTAATATTTGTATGTTTGTTTGTTTTGGGTTTTTTGACACAGGGTTTCTCTGTGTAGCCCTTGTAGATCAGGAAGACAGTAATTAAAAAAAAAATAGAGCAAAGATGACTGATAAATTCTAATGATAGGAAGTGAAAAGTCTCAGGAGTTGGCGCAGCAGCTTTTATCCACTGT